GGGCGCAGGGTGGGCTCCATGATCTTGGAGCTCTTTTCCAACCTCAGGGATTCTGGGATTCTCTGAAAATCTCTGTGTGTGTGTGCATGTACCTAGCCCTGGAGGTGTCCCAGGAAGGCCTGGCCGTGGCACTCAGTGCTCTGGGCTGGGGGACAAGGTGGGGATGGGGCACGGGGGGGATCCATGGGCTGGGAGGGCTTTTCCAGCCCCAGTGATTTTGGGATTCTGATAGAAAAGCAGATGCTGATAACCTGTGCAATCAGTGCTGGAAGGAGGAACAAGGAGCATTCCATGGCACTGGACTGACTGATCCCAACCAGCCTCCAGGCTCTTTTGGAGCCCCTGGTGTCTCTGCTTCCCCCTGACTGGGGCAGGATGGTCCTGAACACTTCAGTGCCAACCCTTGTTTGAAATACTTCCGTGCAGGATGGGGCTTTCCTTGGTTTTGCTGGTGTGATTCACTCTCAGGGTCACGGTGCAGTTGTTGGGGTGTCCCGGGCAGGGCCACCACTTGGACTCGGATGGTCCTTGCGGATCCCTTCCAACCCAGATATTCTGTGATTCTCTGGTTGGCTTTCCTTTCGAAGACCGAGTGTCCTCCTGCTGGAAAAAGGCCTTCCAGTCCAAGCAGTGCAGGCAGCTGAGTGCCCTTGCACGGCAGGTCTTCTCCAAATTGGGAATGAGAACAAGGGGAAGGAATATGTGACCTTCCAGCCTTAAGCTCCGCGTGCCATGTGGCTGGTGGGAGGCATTAGCAAGACTCCACTGTTCATTGTTGTGGGTGTCTTTATGAACACTGGTGACTGAGAGCCAGCAGTAAATACAGACAAGCACCAAAAATCCACATTAACACTTATCCAACGGCAGAAAAAAATACCATGGGAAGTGCCTGGTTTGCAGAAGTTCCGTGTGGAATCCGGGCTGTGAAGTGGAGGTATTTAGGGCCACGGTGACATAATCCATGCCATGGAGTAGCAGCGTTTGCAGGGGGCTGTGCACAAGCCAGATCTATATGTGCTCTAGCCCTGCTTAAAATAAAACTACACATACTATCACTGCCTTATTCTGGGAAGCAGCGGAACGGGGCGAGTGCTGCGGCAGCGACAGATCGGTGTAGACTCCACGTACTCGGGTTCCTCCCACTCTTGTCACGGCCATTTCTCCTCAGCAGTTGCCAGAGCCGGGGAGAGGCAGAACTGAGATTTTTGGGGAATGCAGGAACAGGGTGATCAGGGTTTGCTTTGCACCCTCATGGCCTTGATGGTGGGATTGCAGCCGTGCTGTGCCCGGAGGAGCTGCTCGTGGGGGTCACAGTTCCTTGGGGCAGGGGAGGAGAAGGGTGTATTTATTGTCTGAGCCTTGATCCAGGCTTAGGATCATAGAGTCATGGAGTAGCTTGAGTTGGAAGGACCCCTGAGGATCACCAAGTCCAAGCCCTGGCCCTGCCCAGGACACCCCAACACTCCCCCCTGTCCCTCAGAGC